ACCAATAGTCAGAAAGGATCTTAACTCTTATATAATAATTCTCCCTAACTATTTTTCTGGAGTTGCTCTGGGGAGCTCACCTGATTGTAGTGATGCATGTTCTCAGCTTCACTTCCCCAGTCATAAGCTCTGAAGTCGTCCGCTTGGTACAACTGAAATAAATAATTTGTATAAATAGAATAGTTACAGTAAGAATCTTAACTTTTGTTGTTAGGGGCTGTCCTGTCAGGTAGGACCCACAGAAACACTGTGAACAATACATCTGAATCCTGTGCTATCTTGTGCTATCCTCCCAAACTCTGACACACTCGAGTCCATTGCAGCATTCACTGTGTCAAACCACCTGGTAGAGGGTCTTTCTTTCACTGACCCTTCACATTTCCAAGCATAATATTTCTTTTCAAGGAATAGCCTTTCTTAGCTACATGCCTGAAATACATGAGTCAAAGCTTTGCAGCACTCTGGATGCACTCTCTCCAAGACATATTTGTCTGTTCTTTTGTCAGTCTGTGGGATATAAAAATCATAAGAGAAAACAAAATAAAGCTTCTGAGATACTGGAGAAACATAAAAAGTTTTCACTACTTGAAAATGGGTTCAACAGAGAAAGATGATAAACTCCTTTGTTTTAAGGAAAAGGAAGGGGAAACTGAGACGTCTTAAAACAATGACAACAGCAAAAAGCCAAACCCTTTGAAATAGAGTTGATTTGGACTCATAGCAACACTCCATTGGGTTTCCAAGGTCATAAATCTTATACAGGAGATACTGCCTATCTTTTTCCTGAAGAATGACTGGTGGGCTTGAACCGCTAACCTTTCACTTCGTAGTCCATATTGGTATACACTACGCTACAAAGACTTAGGAGAAAGTGATTTCCCAGGTATTTCTCTGAGGAATCCTCAACTTTCCTGAACCTTCCTCTTTTCTTACTTTAGTTCACATCTATTTAACAAGTGCTAGTTTATGTCACCTGATTGATTTCCACTGTACTATGTATTTGCTTGTAAGAGCCAAAACTTATAAGAGCATAAAAATGGTGACCAAGAACAAAACTAAAGCTATTATTTGAGCTTTTAAGTAAATCTGTTAACAGGGGCAACTTTGTCTTTTAAAATATAACTCAAATTATTATTGGAGTGTCTTTTCATGACAAAATCCTACCTGTTTTATATGTAGAAGGTTCTGTACTGACGATCCAGTGGGAGCATGTGACATATACACATCCATTCGACTCTGACGGAAAACCAAAATAATAAAATGTTACGTCAAGAATAAATCACCAATCAAAATATATGATGCCACATTATTTACCATCACAAAAACATAGAAACAGTCCAAATATCCAACCCCAATCAAATGGGTTGAAAAATTATTGTACATACACACAATGGAATACCACACAGCACATAGAAGCAATGATTTTGTAAATCACTACCTAACTTGCGAGACTGGAGAGCATTATGCTAAGTGAACTATCTCAATACCATAAGGACAAATAATATATAAAACCATTATTGTAGAAGTGGAAAGAAAAACGTGTATGAAGATCTGAGGGGGAGCGGGAGCACAGGGGTGAGGATGAGGGTGCATAATCATAGGGTCGTACAGTTTGATGGATGGAGGGAAAGATGGTTTAAGAAATTGGAAAGATGCTGTGTGAAAAACAACCTATAGAGAATTTGTTAAGCAAACCAGAATAAAAGAAAAAGTTTAAAAAAGCCAACAAAACCCTAACCATATATTGTTGTTGTTGTTTTGTGCCGTCAAGTCACATGCACTCATAGTGACCCAATGTACAACAGCTCTAAACTCTGCTCTATCCTGTCCCAATCTCATTGTCTCTGACACACCT